GACAATTTTTACATACGATTTTATACACCAGAAATTGGAGGTGAGGTCTCACACCGTTTCCCCGGGTCTCCCCCTCCATTTGCTTAAAACATGTCATCTTCCCTCAGCCTCACCTTCCCTTCTGGTGTTAGTTAGTGAGCACGTCCCCTTGTCTCTATCCCATTTAAGTCTCCTCAGTCGGCCATACTTCGTGATAATTTAGACTTCACCGCATGCTACATTGCTACATTTACTTTCAGTAAAGCCACAGTTTAACATAGGTATGATAATAAGGACAAGGTAACGAGGAACGTTTGGCTATTTCTGCTCTTTGTTGGCGTGTAGAATGGCCCTGGTCTCCTACGTTGATGTTATCACCAAGGTGGTATTAAGACCTGAAGCGATTGTTCTGACGCTCCCTAAATAGCAGCAGGTGCAGCCCTTTCAACAACAATGAGTGCTTCTGAAAGATAGGGATCAATGGGATCTGCAAGGGTCATTGCTCTTATCAGATGAAGGTTACAGCTGACAGGAGCAAGTGCCTGTCGGCTTCAGTGGTCATACAAACAAAAGAGACTCTGTTTTTACTCAGTATATATATATATATATACTGTATTTGTCAGGGTTTAGCCCCGGTCTTGAAATGTTAGTTTCCTAGGTAAAGGAAACTCAGATTTCTATTGTCGTATACATATACATGAAATTTGACCCATCCCTGTATATAGGGAGCAGTGGGCTGCCAATGACAGGCGCCCAGAGAGCCTCGGGTTCAGTGTATTGCTCAGGTACACGTCCCAGTCGAGGATCGAACTGGGACGGGATCGACCTTCTGGTTCCCAGACAACCCGCTTAACCCAGTGAGCCACGGTCGCCCCCATTTATAACTTGCACTTGCCAGAACAATATGCAACATGGCTGTTATTGACAGGATATCCATGTTTGATGCTCTGGCCGTGCTTCCAGGAAAGTGTTTTAAACGTCTGTCTCATCTCCTGGTTTGGTTATGCTAATGAGGCACAGGAAACAACGGCCAGCAGGGACAACGCTACCAAGCATGGAATACATCTAAAGAGTCAGAATGACGGGAAAGAGAGGCCCCATCCTGGCCTTCTCGTTTAAATAGTTGCAATCTGAGCCACCGTAAAAATACATCCAAGTTTTGATTTGTCCGACAACCCATATCGTTTTTAAACAGGAAATGCACTTATCCCATGCGTATGTGTGCGTGTATATCACCCTAACACAACATTGTTGTTCTTGCTGTTTGTTGTAAACAAAGTCCGATGTACTGCAAACCAGTTTCCCCACGGGGACAGATTATGTGTGTTTATCTATTTATCCATCCATCTGCCGGGGTTTGTTATTTTATTCTGTCAATCATCCACAAAGGGGAATAACGTGCCAAACTTAAGTTCTAGGTTTTATTCAAGATTGAAAGATTTTAATTAAATTTGCATATGTTGGGCACACACTCAAATGCTTTTGATTTCATACACAAAGCAACGCTTTCATGCCGTTTTCTCTGCTAATGTACGAGTAAAATCAATGATCAATGGATCCAAACATCTCCAGGTACCAGTTTCCTTAGTTTGGGTGAACGTTGCAGTTGTGTAACTGCCTTACTGAGTCTATCACTGTAGGCACACTTAGCTACATCATGTACAATCCAACATAACACCTCCCTCCACCTCTGACATTGAGATAAGATAAGATAAGCCTTCATTGATCCCCAGAGTGATAGGAGATGAGATGGAAAGAATATTAGAAATACTCTGCACACACATGCACAATGAATGCAGCCTTCACCGCTCCATTTGCATGCATCTGCCTCTGACGGTGAATATGGATGACCCTGATGAAGGCCACGAGCCACAACCTGTTGATGGAAACAATAAAGTTGTCTCTGGGGTTCAACATTCTGTTTGTTACCGTACAGTACAACCACATTCACAGGAACATTTCTGATGAATTCACTTCTATCGTGATTGATTAGCGTGACAGAAGTGTGTCAACTGGCATTGAGATGATGAGGCGTGTTTACATCTCCCATTCAGATGTGTAAGAGAAGCGAGCCTTTTTAGTACTGACAGCGTTTGGATCCTTGATGAAATGAAGTATGTTCCAACAAGCTGTTTCCCCGTCGTCGCTCGCTGCTCGTCCCAACCGCACTGCAACAGTCAGAGAGATGCTGTGGTGGTGCTGTCACCTGAACAGGTGCACAGCAACGTGAATTAAGTCCAGTCTGCCTCTGAAAGTTGGGTCTCATTCAGAGACAACAGCTGTAGATCATGTTCTCAGCTCTGTTTGGATTTTTTTTTCAAGAAAATTATTTTTCTTTGTATGTCAGTGTGAGAAACGGGATGATTAGTGCGAGTAAAATGATGCACATAGCCAAACCTTTTGTCACCAGGGAGTCCCTCGCTCACTTCCCAATCCTGTAGTTAAACTAAACAAGATGTAGCTTGCATCACATTTATGATGTTCAATCATTAATCTTGTTACCTCTCCAGTCGGAGTATTGCGCCTCAGTGCTGAATTGTTGAATCATCATTTTTCAATCTTTTTTACTCTGAATGTTCACTAATTCTTTGATAAATGGACCTGAATGTTATGGGAGGGACACAACTGGCTCAACAGAATTTGCCTTAGAGGTGCGAAAGTGTGAAAGACCAGACAGTGGATCAGTGTTATAATGTTTAGGAAGTCTTTACATCGCCAAGAAAACTGCAAAAACATAAATTAACAACAATGTAACAACAATGTTTGCAATGTAAAAAGAACTTGCTGACCAATCAATAAAACATACTCAAAAGGAGAACAATAGCTCGGATAAAGAGGCATGTTTCTTGAGAACTTACTGCACACAGGGACTAATTAAATGTATGGAAAGCAATTGTTCAGCGAAACCACTGCCCAGCGTCTCTAACTGTGAGATAATTGGTGTGGCATGTTAAATGTACAGCTTGCTAGACAGAACCAAACTGTGTTGATACAGCTACACCTTATGATTAAGGTGGCGTTGTCATTCACCCAACCGCGCTGTTCCATGTTTGTCTCCCTACCTGAAGTTAAAATGTCTTTTAAACTTCCCCCAGCTGTCAAAGCAAAAGAGGAGCCGGCTCTGCATTGTTGAGCCGACCGTGGGCTTCATCAGCGGGGAACGTGGCTGACGCCTCAATCGACCCGTTTCCCAGAAAGATACACGATTTAACTGACTGCCAACCAGCTAATTGCTTTGCTTATCCATTTTCCAACTCACGATACCTTTAATTTCAAAGCGGAGCTCAGTACTTTGCTTCTTCCTCATAATATGTAATACAGTAATTGCCCGCTCTCCATTTGTAGATAAAAAGTATTTTTTTTTTTTTGCAGCTGACAAGTCCCCAAGGGCACATAATTATTCCTCAGTTTTGTTCAGTTCTTTCATAACACTATATCATGGAGTGCAACCCCCCCTCCTCCTCCTCCTTTTGCAGAACTCTGATTAGACTCTAGCTGAGTTTCAAGCTTCTAGCCTTTTTAGCTTTTTTCTCTTTAAGCGTTAAACCCGAAACAGGAATGCTTCCACATTCTCAGTAGTGTTTTTAGCCGGATTGTACTCTTTGGAAAAAATATGTGTTGCTGATCAGCCGTCATGGGTGAACTAATTGTGTGTGTAATCTTGAGTTGTTACATTTATAGTGTCATAAGAGACAACAAGCATTGCACTTCGTATTGAATTCCTCAAAAAGTAAGTCGTAGCAGGACGCGGTGACAGCAATGAGCAGTGACAGTTTACATTTCAGAGAGGGTATTACTCTTCCACTTTAAAGGAAGCTGTCTCCCTCCTGTTCCTGCTACACTCACACCGTTTTATTCAATACGAGACTTTGATGGCGGTGATTTTCAGAATATGCAGAGTATCTGTTGTAGCTCGTAAGAAGTGCATGTTTTCACCTACGGCGTCGTGAGCGCCTTTACACCGTACCTCTAATGGTGACTACATGCTGCTGCAGTAAAAGACTGAAGACTCCTCCCATTGTTCTACAAATAGACTATAAGAAGTGTGTGTGTGTGTGTGTGTGTGTGACACTGTGCATTTAATAACATTAGACAACTTTACCGTTAAAGTCTTCTCTTCAACAGTTGATCTGCTCTGATTGCCGTCACTCTGTCTCTCGCCCAACCACACACGACCATATATGACCATTTCTGACTCACATTTACATGTATCTGGACTTTAATTCCTGTTTACAGTCTTTACATCTTGTATGACGACATGACCAATGTGTGTGGTAACGAAACATTCTGGATGGACTTAAATGATGTGCTGGTGCACCTAAATGAAGATAAAATGAGGCGCACCGGTGCAACCAAAGTAAACAAGTTAGTCTGCAGCCGTGAATGTACATCACAGATACTGAGCCCATGTTTCTCAACACTACATGCCTTCTTCTGCAGACTGCAGGATGTGCATTCTAGGTTTTTTCCCACTCAGAGCTGCCTCTGAATTGACACCTCCTTATCCTGCTGTCTCTCCTCATTGTTTCCACTCAGCCTTGTAGAACACTGGTTTGTTGCAAATGATCCACAGAGGAGGAGGGTATACAGAGAGTAGTACTACTCCATTACAGAGACATTTGCATAATTCTTTCTCCCCATTTGGAGATCGGTTTAAGATACTTTTCTCAAAACAATGACCATTGACAGAAATGCAATAAACGTGTGAACAAAATAGACCACATGAACGGATTACAGCATATATGACGTAATTCTTCACCTGTTTGTTTGTTGTGGTTTTTTTTCCTCCAGACTTTGCAAGAGCTGTTGCAGCACGGCCTATATCGTACGCAGCAGTGTTACGAATGAAAGCGTACAGCTCGTCAGTGCTCGACTCGCGCAGCAGACCTCGACAGCACCACGGTGGCGGGCTGGTGACTCCTGACTGGCCCGCTTTCTCCAGTCATCCCCTGTCAGCCCTGAGTCTTTTCGGCTCTCAGGAGGACTACAGGAGTGAAGGTAAAACGAATGGTGCGCTCAAACCCACACTTTGTTGACTCCTGTCTCAAGCAAAATTGAAAAGTTTTCTTTTTCCGGTTTGTAGAAGTTCACGCTTACAAACAAATGTAAAAGTGGAATAACCTCACTAACTTCCTGCATATATTTAACTTGCAGCATTAGCCAAGCATATGGAGCAGTTATACTTTTAGTTAGTTAAAGGTTCCCTCGTATGACATGCGGAGCTTTATTATAGCATCAAACGACCACCTAAAGATATTGTGATACCCCTCAGGCCAACACTCTTAGCTCTGTCAGCACTGTTGCTGTTGTTTGCGCTGTTAGCGCTGCGCGTCAGTCGCCATGTTGAGAGCCGTGTGGAGTCAATACATATGCTCTGAATATTGAATTTATCACCTTTTAGGAAACAGAGAGAGGGAGCTCTTTCTGAACGTGATTACCCCTAAAAAGTGTTTTGCCTTGGGCTCGTATTATTAGGAGTCATTGCGAGCTATCAAATGTCAGCATCTGCCTCCTTCTGCCAAGACAGCTGTGCATGTTTGTGTCATTTCCTGTTATCAGCCGGGGATGACATTATCGGTTGCGACCGACTTGCCCGATAGTGACATCATGCATCACCGAGACCTGGATTTTCAGGTCGTCGCCCGAGTTCAGATGACCTCGTTCTCAACCTGCCAAAAATGAACCAATTTAAAAGAATGGACACTGCGGAGTGGGAAGGAGAACAACAGAGCAGACGTGATTGGTGTGAATGCACTCGGCGGGTCTGCGCTCTCTCTCTCTGGACTCACTTGGAGTGTGCACACTTCCTGCCTGTTTAGATTTGCTCTGGAAATGAATCTCGCCGATCTATCATCACCGCGCGTGGTCCGCAGTGACCGGGGTCGTGCCCTTTGTGAAATTGAAGTGGGATCACGGCAATATCCATCTCTGTCTGCCTCTCTGTCAGGATAGACACCATAGATGTGATGGATATCTTTGTCAAAGGGGACGATTTAGTATCCCAAACACCAGCAGGGAAACACACTGTCGTAAATCTACGTGGGTCACTTACTTACACCCTCTGTTACAGTATGAACAACTCTAGAGGCTGTAATGACACATTAAAGCTTTGATATATGATATATGCTAATTGCATATGGACTGCTTAATTAATGGACATTTGAAGTAGCTGCTGAATTGGCAGAAAGGATCTTAGCAGATGTTAAAAACAGGCAGAGATTAAGAATCAACTTGTTGTCATTTTCTTTTTGCTTCAGATTTTTTCCCCCCATTTCCTTCTTTGCGCCTCTCTGCCAGTCTTTTTCTGACAGCATTATCAATATATGGCCATAAAATGACTTACATCTCTATAACCAAGGTGAGAGTAATGTCTCCATTGTCAGTGATGACAAGGACATTATACCATTGCACTGGATTGATGTTCTGTGGATGAAATGGATGCCAAAAAAGGTGACACACCTTTGGTGCCTGAGAGGGGACACCACTTCTTTTGGCCCTGTGACTGGCAGGTGGCCCCGGCACTTGAAGTGGAGTGATTTAAACAACTTCTATGCTTGTTTGTGTTTGTAGAGATACACACAGATCATATGTCCCTATGCATTGAAATTGTTTGTTTTTATTGCAATGTTGGTACACCTCCGACTGCACCTATGGAAACATGATGTCTCTGCTTCAGTTGTCCGTGTATTAACTATTTTGACGTCACTCTAATCAATGGTCAGTTTCACATCTGAAGCAGAGAGCATAGCATTTTTTCTAAGACACAGAACATGAGTTAAGTACAGTCAGGGACAAATTTGGATTTGGCTTTGTGCTCTTCAACCCTGGATGTCAATTTAAAGTCAAAGTAAAACTTAAATCTTTAATTTGAGGATGTTTACATTCACATTCGACAAACATTGGGGGAATTGTTGCCCTTTTTTTAAGCTAAATCATATATATTAACTGTAAAATGTGACGTAAAGTGGAACTGGACGTCGCCCTATTTAATGATATCTAATTCTTTGCAGTTAATGGTCGATGACCCACAGACATCAGCAGTGTCCTCCTCTGTGATTCTCTGCTGGGCCTTGATCGTATCTTAACTCGTTTAAAGTGACACCGTGGTGTTTCCTTTAAAACAGAGACTATTCCATCACACAACATGGCCCCCTCCACAAGCTGAAAGGGGACAGACGGAGCGTCCTGGTGTGGTTGAGTGTGTGTGCGCCTATACTCCATGGATGCATAGACAGAGAGCTGTGTCAAGAAATGTAGAAACCTCGTGCTATTTGTTAGCACGAGGAAAACATACACGCACCTAATCGCTGTGCTTTATATGCACAGCAAGGTTTGCATCTTAATATCGGTTAATTTCCCTCGTCTGATTGGGGTTTTATTTCAAACACTTTTGATTTCCCTACAGAGCAGTAAATTGCTGACAAAGCGTTGGTGAGATGATACATACCCCGAGGAAACAAAAAGCCATGATTCTTTTTCTTTTTGTCATCAGATCCTAAAGAGAGAGCAGTAATCAAGACTGGTGACTCACATGGTTGTAGTAGTTATGAACCAGATCAAATGTAATGCACACCTAAATGCTCAATGTATTGATATCTCTATATACCGTCAGTTGTTCAGCTGCTGCACTGCGCCGTCACAAAGAGCACATCATCACCTGTCTGTTTACTGGGTTTCTATTCTTCATGCATTATTTATCTCACAGAGAAACAATTCTTCTGAAGAACACAAGATGCCTTTTGGAGAGTCTGAAAATGTGAGCTGCGAGACGCTGTACCTCAGGAACCCTTCTACAATAAGTGCATCACTTGTGTGTTAACAGAAGGCGAGATCAAAGAGTAGAGCACTCTGAAGGAACAGAAGGAAATTGCAACGGGGAATGTGAAGCAGAAAATGTATCAATACGTGGACGCATTTGTGCCGGGGAGAGTTCAAATCTTACATGAGAAGCACTTTAAATCAATAGCAGCTTATGAAACAAGTCATACTTGTGCTGTTGGTATTCCATGTCACAAATTGTACGTATATAAGCAAGTTACTGCAAAAACATAAATACTATGCCCATGATAGTAATGCTATTACAAAATTCTGCAACACATCCTGTGTCTGCGTCAATTAGCGACTTCAAAAATGATTGCTCGGCAGGCAGTAAAGACATTTTATTTAATTTAATTAATTTGGTTCTTTAATCTTGCCTTGGACCTACGAGCTTGACTCATCTCAACTACGGTACTGTGAGGTCTAAAGTAGTGTTTTTACTGTCTTATTGATAATTGTAAAGCAGTGGTGGCCAAAGGTGTTTGACTGTGAGCCATATTCATAAAAATATAAGGAGTCACGGCTCAAACAACCAGTTACACTGCAAGAACATCTCTGTTTCTAGAGCAGCAAACCACATGTTCATTTCAAACCAAAATAACAAGGCAACACTATGTACAGTATATACAGTATATCTGCTGTTTTATTAGTGTGCCCTCATTTTACAAAAAACATTTCTGTATCCGCTGCTCTTAAATTCAATTTTAAACAAAATAAAGACGTTTAAACTCAAGGTGCTCCGTCCCCTTCCAGCCACTAAAACAACCAAAGTGTGGCAGCGCACTCCCTTTGCACACTACATATGACACGACTGATGGCAGATTACACTCTGTGCCTTAAATGACAGATCATTGATAATCACTCAAATGTCAAATTACTTTAAGGTTACCTTTACTCTGCTATGTCATAAACGCTGTGAGTAATGCAATATTAATAACAAAAGATAAGAACTTCTTACAGAAGCTGCCCAGAATTCACCAAAGTCTGAGTCCCAAATGGCGTTTTTTGACCACAGGCGTGTGGTTTTATGTCTTGTAATTTTGCTTGTAGAGCTTGTTATATAACAAATAGAGGCCCGCCACAGACTATTGGGAGGATAGGACACAATGCTGACGAGAATGCCTAACAAACAAAGGAAAGATTGGCTTGTTGTAACATTTCCTCTTTGAAAAATGGCTATTTTCATCGGTAGGGTGGTCAAATTATTCTTTAAAAGAATGGAAATATATGAAAGAGAAAAGATGATAAATAGTTCAATCAAACGTACAAACGTGATCTTACTAACGGTACTTAGTTACTATCGTTTTACTGTTTGAACATATGCGCTTTATTGTGAAATGTGAATCGGGGTCATCTTGGGAAACGAGCGTCAGAGACAGCAGCTGCGTTCACACCCAAACCTGGCCAGGAACTATTACTGCTCAGTGTGTTAGGACTCATGGTCACAGTAGTGTTCGCTCATCACTTGGCACCTCAAGGCAGACAACAGAGAGTCCAAAAGATGTAAAAGTTACTGGAGGATATAGCGTTGAGGTTGAGCTTAACGGAATCACGTCTGACCAGGTTAACTGTTTCACAAGTTATTATTTCTCTGGCGGAAGTACAACAGCCTCCGGGCTTCCTCGGCAAAAAACACTCTGGCTTTGACGATTCCTAGAATGGTTTCCCAAATGTTGAGCAACCAGATCAGTTGTACACTATATCACAACGGTGCTATCACCTGTCAGAGAAAAACTGCTGTCTGCTGCTGGATGTCATGCTAGTTTTAGTTGTTTATAATTCCATCTGGCTATGGAGCTGCACATCTTCCTTTTCTCTTGTTTCCTATAATAGAGGTTTCGGGGGCTGGGGCGGGGACTATGAACTTGTACTAACCAAACTGGGGAATAATAGAAAAAGTAATTGGATGTTAAAACTGAGTGGCACTCACGATGTGATAAATCCAATCACCCGTGTCTTTATCTTTCCTTCTTTCCCTCTTAGAAAGCGAAGAGTTCGGGCCTGTTTTCATCCATGAGCCAGGCGACGTTGTTTTTCCTTTGGACTCGGATGAAAAGAAAGTGGTGATGCACTGCCAGGCTCGGGGGAATCCGCCGCCTACATACAGGTGCGACATAATTGCGGTCCTACTTTCACAGCTCATTGGCGTGTCATTCATCACAAATGTATTCAAATCTCTTTTTTTCAGTTGGTACATCAACGGGACAGAAGTGGACGCAGAGGCAGACTGCCGCTACAGCTTCATTGATGGGAACTTAATTATTACCAACGCAAGTGAGAGCAGCGACTATGGGAAGTACCAGTGCAAAGCAGGGAACGGCTTCGGGACCGTCCTGGGTCGAGAAGCTCTTCTGCAGTTTGCATGTGAGTAGACTTCAATTAGTTTTATACAAACATTCGTACACAAGGCCGAATGTTATATTTGATATACTCTACTACACAGTATCTCTGTATGTCTATGTTTTAGAAAAATGTACATTTGAGTCAGTTTTCTTAACAGTCGCTTAATACATTTCCGGAACAAGGTTGATTTTTCTGAGCTTTCATACCGCCAATAAAGGCATCAACCAATCACATTGTTTGGAACGGACATATTCAAAATGTACACTGTAGTGTACAATCACACGGGTGACTGCAAACTTTGTAACTCCTTTCAACCCTGTCGAGAGCGTCACAGGCCAGATCCACTTCTTCCGCTCTTACCTTTCACAATAAAAGCCCTAGACATATCCGCTGCATAACCGTTTACCAGAGGGAACTTAAATTCACTCAGAACATCTTTCTAAGAGGAAACTCAATAATATAGCTCACAGTAGCTCAGGCTGTACAGTATAACGATATAAATCAGACAGACTGACTGATGCTGCTCTGGGTCAATAGGATCCTGGTAGTTGGTTCTCTGCCTGTTCAAACCTTTTTATTTAGAAAATTGTTGCAACTTCTCCAAATCGCATCGCTGCCAGTATGGATAGATTTTATGCAAAATATTCAAGTATTTTGCATCTTCGTGTTGTTTATTTGTCACGCCGCCGGTGTGTAAAGGCCTTTAGGGGGGAAGAAGATCACGGCTCTCATATGAAGCAAATAATTAGCTGCAAGCTCTGTGTCTCTGCGAGTTAAAATAAACCTGTTTGGTTCCAGGGGTAAATAAACACCACGCTGTCTACAGTAAGGTTTTCGTTGCTGGGTTCAGTTCCCACCGGCTCCATCTGATACTTTTGAGTTGCACCGCTAACACGGTATGTGCCCTCAAATGCCACGTCTCAATGGTAAATGAGATCCAAAAAAAAGCACATTCCTTCCCCCAGTAATCCCCTGGCCCAACTCCAGAGCGTCATCACAGGCTAAGAGGAGGGAGGCCAGGGGCGCTGTGCTCGGAGGGAAATGCTTTGTTGCTATTCTCCACAGTTTCCTCAGGAGCAATGACCATAATTGCGTTATTGGCATGTCTACAGGGAGCTTACCGGCCTCACTCTCTAAAATGTTGCTTGAAGGTAGAGTAGATACATATATACCCTCATGCGTTGTTACAGTCATTGCAGGAATGACTTTAGAAACAAATGGATAGATCAGCCTGAAACTATGGAAACAGAAAAGTGGAATGGAGTTTTTTATATATATATATATATATATATATATATATATATATATATATATATACAGTATAAAAGCTCTTTTCCCTTCAGGCCAACAGAAGTTTTTGTTTGTTTTTTGCTCTTTTATTTAATTTTTCCCTTCACAAAGTTTCATGTATTTCAATGTGATAAAGAAAACAAACAAAAAAACAGAAGAAGACATAAATTAAATATAAGGCAGACTGCACTGGCAGGCAGAAATGCCCAGATGGTAAAGCAGAGCTAGTGCTTCAAAAAATAGTTTATGAGGGACAGAAGCTGCGTCTTCAACACGTACACTTATCTGTCCTCTTAACTGTCCAGATCTTTCCCACCCCCTCGCTCCACCCGAGTGTCAAATCTGTACGAACAAAATAAGAATTGAGCCTTTTCTTTTTTTTCATCTTTTAGTGCCTAGACAGGGGCAGCGCCTTGTAGTTATGCATAAATGCTGTGCATTTGCTTGATGCAATGTTATCCATCAGATTCATATTAGAGATTCTTGGGTAGTATTTTGCCAAATTTTTTTTGTTTTCTAGAATCAGTGTGGTGTTTTGCAATGCACCTTATTCATTGTGAATTTGTCGAAGTGTGCATTTCTGTAGGTACGCTTCACTTCTTTATCTATTGGACGAAGGCGACTGCATCCTGCTGGACTTACAACTAGAAAGGTGCACTCAGTAGAGTGCACATCTCCTCCAGCGGTGTCTGCAACCACCACTCTTGTGATGTTTTATTAAATTAATGCCATCCGCAATTGTCTAATTCCCCCGTCTAGACCACAAGCATATCAGACATATATGTTTTCACCGTAGGTCTCACGCTCTCATTTGAAGCTATGCAGCTGTCTGCACGAGCTCCTAACAGGCTCGTGTCTCATGGGCCTTACCGCGACCTGAAGTGTTTTGTGCCTGAAGCAGTTGAAGCAGTTGTTCGCTTGACCACGAGAGATGCTTGAGCATGCAGTCCCGAATGAGCACAAACAATATTAGACTGATGGATCTAGTATTGCTTTAAGATTAGCTAATGGACAGACAGACAGACAGACAAACACATAATCTCCTCTCGTGCCTGGCAGAGATAACAAAGCTTAGTGAATTACAGATGTGTCATATATGGCAAATGGCTTCCCAGAATTGTACTGTAGCATTGATTTATTTGTTCTGTTTTCTTTTAATTAAAGGATTAGAGCTCAAACCAAGTTTTTATAAAGAATGACATCACATTGGAAGGAATAACCTTCCTTTCCAGCAGCAACCACTGCTGAGCACTCAAGTATTTTAGTGTAGCATCTGAATATTTTGAAATATATTAAAAACCAAAACTGTCTTTTCAAATCCAAATCAGTTCTTGTTGTCTCTGTAGTTAATTCATCTAATGTGCCGTGGCATCATTTTAGTCTTGAAGTCTGAACGCATGTGAAGGCTGAAGCAGAAGGAATGTTCGGGGCCATGTTTGGTTGATTGGCAGGTGCGTCAGATGACACAATGGCCTTTTTATTCGTCGCACAACAGCTTCACCCGAGCCACCTTTGCACAAAATTGGATTTTTCTATTTCTGATAACAGACAGGCCAGTTAGTATAAAGTTGTTGGGGGGGAAGCGTGACACGGCGTAATGTGGAAAGATGCAGCCCAGACGGGCTGCGCCGAGTTCAAGGTATTACAGCAGAAATGGCCTATAATCAGCTATAAAATTATATCATTAATATTCCGCTCTGTTGCCAGATCGCATCATTTCCTCGCAGAGCGGCACAGTAGCACATTTTCTGTGGCCCGGAGGGAAATATCACTCGCTGAATAAACATGTGTGGCTATCTCAGTCGTACTATTGAGTCAGCAACAAACCTGGCATCTTACCAGCGGTTGTTGTGTTGGGATGTGAAGAGAGAGTCGGAGGATAGTTTGGGGCAATTAATGATTCTTTGTGTAATGGTGGAACATACTATCATCACACTGTCAAAGAAGACGGATCCATTTGTGGACATAGTTTACATACTGTTTGTATATATATATATATATATATATATATATATATATGCAGATAGAATCACTGTTTTATTTTTTCAGTATTACACATTATTAATTAAAAGACAAATCATATATATTTCCTAAATAAGCTTTACTTGAACTTGACATGAGAGCTTTTCCTTTCCTTCTATCCATGGCTGTTTCGTGCACGAGGTGACACATTTGTTTCGTCAGCTGTGTGCGGCGCAAATATTCCACGTGTAATAGCCTCGCACTCGGTCTACATTTCTTTCAAGTGTGGCTCTTCAAAAGGCGAGCCACAGAAACAAAGAGAGGTGCCCCGCAGCACACATTAGGATGCAGAACCGTCCCTCTCTCTCTCTCTCTCTCTCAGCATAACAAATGGCGGGCATTTATCACTCAGCGTGGAGCTCAACTTTTTCCTCCCTTTTTCATGTCGGCTCTTCCCGTTGTTTCTCGCATCGGCACAGAAGTCAGCTGCTTTAATGATGCACACGGGCGGTTCTCTTCCTCATGAGCGGAGTGTTTTAAAGAAGTACTTATATGCTCTTATATGTTGTAGAACGATTAACTTACTTGAGTTGTGTTCATGGACGTTAAGACGTCACGTACACACAGCAGAGCTAATTCATAGGGATCTGCATCTCACATTCAGCAGGTTTCAGGTCAGATTCTTCCTTGGGGGGGTGGGGGATGGGGGGGGGTTCTAATATTTTCACTGTTCTGTGTCTGCATACTGTAGGAAAGAATTTTGAGTTTTGAAGTTAAAATTTGAACGTTGGTAGAGCTGGGGAAAAAAACAAATCTCACAATTGTTTAGTAAGTTTTGGGCACTGGTCAAAGTCCCATCCCTGTTGCATCACTCGCCTGTATCCTCTCCTCCAGAGGGTTGTGAAGTCAAGCTGTCAAACCGAACACAGCCCCGTCTCATGCAGAGAGTCGGGGGAGAGGTGGAGCGGACCGACCCGAGTGCACGAGCAAAAGGTTCAACCGAGGCTCTATGTATTCTATCCAATGGCCCGCGTACTCCATGTTTCAGTAGGGTGCCTTTTTTTCTCTCACTTTGTTTTGAAATCCTGAGCCGCTGAACTCACACTTGGGCTGTTTTTCAACCGGGACTTTGAAGGCGGCAGGCAGAGAGGAGGCCTCTGATCTCTCTCCCCAAAGACTTCTCTCTCTCTCTGCAGACGTGAGTCTGGCTGTGGCTCAGGTATCGAGCCACTCCGAGCAGTACAGTAGTAATGAAATTAATGGGATGCTTTGATTTGAGCATTGGAAGACGCACACAAACACACACTCACACACACACCTCTGAAATGCTCTACAAATGTGGCATGATCTGTATTTAATGCACATTAATTGAATCCATACTGATCTTGAAATACGTCATTCGCATCGAGCACCTACTCCTGTGCTCCCTGCAATTTTCATCCCTGCATGTCTGGATAATGACCATGCCGTTTTCACATGATTATAAAGTCATTAATATTGACTCACTTACATAACTGTAGTTTGCAAATTGAAATGATAGGTCAGAAAGCCTCTACTCCTGGTTCCCTAACATATGACTGCTTCATTTAAGACAGAAATAAGACATTGAATAAGTCTTATTTTTGATAGACTGGAACATCCACTTGGACTTTTATTTGTTTTTCACATTCCCATGTGTAGTGGTCATTGTTGTGGGGCTTCACCGTTGTACTCACTCGATAATCCCTCAGCACTGGAGGTCCATGTTGTCTTTTTGTTGTTTTTTCTGTCATCGTGGTTGTTATTGCTCATGCTAACCATGACTTATTTATTCCAAACTACCAGTGTTGCAGCTGCCTGAAATGCAAAATGTGTAATTTCCCATGTGCCCGAAAATGTTTCCCAGGACGTCCCCTATTACGTGTGAGTGTGGGCTCTTAAACTGGATGTACCGTACCGTTGAATTGTTATCGCGCTCTAAGGCAGTTGGTTATATAGAGCAGCGACATGGAAATGCATCAATATTTATTAAATAAGGCGAGCCTTCTAAGAAGACTCGTGTTTCCACAACATGTAGCCCGGGCTGAATAATTGAAGGGGACGGAATAAGTACAGAAACACACAAACTCACAGCTGTTTGCTGCAAAGTACATCAGCCGCGTTGTTGTACTTCAGCAGTTGGATGTAAGAACACTTGGTCAGTCGTCCTCAGACAGCTGGTGTTTCTGTCTTTGAGTGATGTATTCAAGTATATACTCACTCGTAGCCTTTCGTCTATTTGCGAATTAAAGCTACAGTAGCCAACATTGATCCACAAATGAATAAGAAAAACGAGGTAGTGGCAGCGACAGAGATGACATGGTGGTGACAGTCGGCGGCTCTCCGTCTCAATACAAATATATCAGCACTAGCCAATGCACCGAGATGATGGGGCTGATATCGCTAGGATAGCAGTCCAAGAATGCAAGTCAGGGTCCAATATCCAAACACATTACAATGTGGACCAGCCAGCAGCATCCAGTTTGAATGGAGGCACCTCACTCTATATTGACAGGCCAACATGTGGGGAAATCAATTTAAGGTAAAGAAATTACTCATTTTGAACATTTGGGGCAAAGAGAGGGCTAACACTGTGCATTTGAGAAATGTTAGCGTTTCAATGTGGAAACGGCAGCTTTTCAGCACAGGAAGTGGTCGGCCTGGCAGATTGATCTGTGGTGAGGAATGAATGCTGCAAATCCAGTTTTAACGACGAGCTACTCTCCTGGTTTATTCCGCTGAAGAAGTGCAGTGAAGCACATGAAATATTTACTCTTCCTTTTTCACAAGGTTGAGTTATTTCTTTTTACCATTTTTTGAAATGGTTCAAATTAACCTTTTTTCTTGTTAATTTTTCAATAATTACTTTTAATCTTTTTTTTTTCCTTTTGAACTAGAAAGTTTCTTAAAAGTGCGGTTACCAGAACAGAAATATAGGACCGCACGGATGTTTAGAAAAATAAGGAAATACTCTTTGACAGTAAATTGACTGTGATGAAAGCCATGATCATTATTATGCACGTTTCATAAGCCCCTCGGAGGCATAATTATCCAACGGTGTGATGGTAAACAACACTGCCTCTCAAAGTGATGAAGTGAAAGTGTTGGAGACACAGAGACCCGCCCTGGGTCAGCAGCCTGTCGCTTTATTTCCACACTTTGGCATTGCTTCAACTAGAAATGAAGCGGGCGATACCGGGGTCTTGAAGGCTGCACTTCTGGGATTTCAGATTAAACCTGCTTTGTTCTACTGCCATCGAAAAAAACAACTAGGTGAAAACAAAAACTACCACATTAGCACGTTCAAAAGGAGCTGGGTTAAGAAAGAGTGATATTATATGACAGATGGTTTCATCTAACGATTCATCTATCATGAATTTAATTATGATTCAATGTAGTCAATTCTGGAGCATAGAATTCCATGGATCAGTTAAAAATCATTTTTCCAAACAGCATGGCAGCTTTGCAAATGTTATCTGAATAAAAGATCAGTCAGCAATAATTCTCTTTTTACACTTAGACACCAGTTCAAAGGACAACTTTTTGTTCCTATTGGACAATTTTACATGATATATGTCAAATGCTTTTATATATATATATATATATATATATATATATATATATATATATATATACATATATATATATATATATATATATATATATATACATATACATATACATATACATACATACATACATACATACATCTATATATATATATATATATATTTATACACATACATCAAAAGTAAAGCCGAAATATCCCAGATGCAGGAGCTGCCATCTGGTGATTCGGGGGCTAAAGCTGCAGTATGGAGGTTCCGCCCACTCAGCCGCCCCAGCCAATAACAAGCTGAGCAAAGCCACAGCTCGTTAGCGTCAAGTGGCAACCAAACCAAGTGCCAAAAACTGCAGTCCCTCAAATGGCCACTTGAAGCTGGCAGCAAAAGCGAGTCAATCCCCATAGACTCCCATGTTCAAACACCCAACTTTACAGCAGAAATAAACACGTTTATAGCCTGAAACATTAAACGGTTTTGTTCTCTATAGATGACGTCCCCGTTCATGACAAATGTCTGAGGGGTGAATTCTATTTAACTAACACGTTAAGTTACATTGAGGGTTAAAAGTTTGGCATAATTGAGGGCGTGGCTGCTTTGAGTGGCGATAAATGCTAGCTGTCTACTCTCAGGAGTTAGGCTGTGTGTCGTCACTACCAAGAAGGCATCGCCCGGAGGACTTTGAGCTTTACAACGGCTCCTTTGAAACCTATGAGTGATGTCACAGAGATTTTATACAGTCTACGGATAGCATGAGCCACCTAGCTGCTAGCTTAGCACCAAGGTGGCTGTTTGGCTAGAAAGACACAACAACTACCCACAATATCTCAATAAATACATCTGTGATCAAATTGACACATGGTCTATTAAACAGACTCTTGACTGAGCCGCTGTCAATCACAGATGTCAATCATGACACCACACCCCCTTTTATAGCATTCTATAAGGGCGCTGTCACGTCGTCCATCTTTACCTATATACAGTATATTTATAATGTGTGTGTGTCATCTACTACCTCTACTATGTATCATAACTGTGTGATCTTTGCGTGCTGTTCCAGATCTCGGCGCCTTCAGTGGGAAGACCAGGGGCGGGGTTTCCGTGCGTGAAAGCCAAGGTGTGGTGCTCATGTGTACTCCTCCGCCTCATTCACCAGGTAAGAGGTTAGACCTTCAGTCTCAGCCAGAAGGGGGAAAAAAAATACTGTCTTCTCTCCGCTGCACTTTGGGATTGTCAATGAACTCATCACTATTCATCACGAATCCTATGACAACGAGTAATATTGTTATTACTGTGCCAAGCTGAGTTATTGCTTTTATTGTACATTTATTTATCGCGTTGTATTTTCACGGTTAGACTTTGCACGCGTCCGTTCTGCTCTCCATCCATCCATCCCGCTCAAACGACGAGTGCGATAAGTTATGGCGACGACAGAGCCGGAGCGCTCGGGTTCTCAGAGATCAAATTTGCTGGATCATTAGAAGCGAAAATAAATGTTACACAGACAATTATTCCACATAGGCGAAGCATAGGCGGAGCATAGGCGGCGCTCTTTAACGGCGCACCGCGACTATCCCTCTCTGCAGTCGTCCTCTAATGTAAGCTCTTATGTGAGCCATGAATCACCGGGGGCTTTGTTTGCATCTGCTCCGTCGCACCGCTGCACTGCACCCGTGGGTATGTTTGCTAAGTACTCTTCAGCTCCCGCTTCTGGAGGCCATTTTGAATGACATGATAGCAACCAGAGAGTCGGCGATGGATAAGCTGATAGTAAAAGATCATTTATGATTGATGAAGCTCAATGATTGACAGAGGTAAGTGTGGTGCAGATGATTCTCATCTTTAGAGTTCTCCATCAATCATTGTTCTCGCTGCATTTACAGGTCAAGCGACAGAACATGCATGCTTTTATTAGTCCACCCCAACCGACGCTTTCCCCTCAACGGTTGAACGAGTGAGTGACATAAAATTACAATCAAACACTGCAGATGATGCGGTGGACTGAGATCAGTATAATGGAAATAGTGATTTTCTGTCATTTAAGGTTGGTTACAGTCTTGCTGCTGTAAGCTGTTAAAATTGACCACGGTTTGAGTCATGATGAAAAACTGTAAGAGCATTGTGTTACATTGCTTCCATTAGATTGAGCGACTGGATCAATACAGAATATGTCATATAAATAGTCACTCAACCGCTGAAAGAGAACAATGAGATCATCAAAACAAAAAACTCAAAATGAGAAGCCTAGTGTGCTGAAACCCGGTAGTGAGGTATCACATTGTGAGGAGGTTGTCAAATCAGGGAAACAATTAAGAAAAGATGTAAAAAATCAGACACACAAGAACTGAAGTACATTAATTATTACTGCCAGGTATTAACATCGTGACTTTTAAAAGAATCTCCATCGAAGGTTTTGTAAGAAATGTATTTAAAGCGTAACCACTGTGGGATACAAGGTCCTTGATAAGGCAACGTGGCTAATAATGTTTATTGTTTACAAGTGAAAAAGGCCCCTCAACTAAAACTACGAGAAGAAATCCTCTTAGCATGTACAGCTTTACTGTTTAGTTGTGTGTATATTCATCTATACAAACAGTGGTGTTATGATAATCATACTACACTGTTAGAACGTTGTTAAATGGCAGCTCCGCCTCAACAGGCCGTCGAGCCGTTATTGTGATGCTTATTTTTCATGATCACAGCGTATGCTCAGAACACACGACACAGGTGAGATTGTAATTTATTTTTTCAGCAGTGCTGACATGAAATGAAAAATGATCTCCGACAGCAGAAATGATTAAAACAAAACAAAAATGGCACCGCCCTAAAAAACTTGCCCGTCTGATGACTGCCTCGGTGAGTCGGGCCGCGTCACACTTGATAGTCACGACGTATGGGGAGTGTTAAACAATGTTTGGGTTAGATTGGTTGTGGGAGGATTCAAAGACATTAAAATGGCACTTAAATTAGATCGGTCTTGTGAGTGAAAATAATTTGGAATCGCCGAGATGTGAAATGTTTATTGTTTTCCATTTCATGGCTTTGAGCGCTGGTGACCACTTTTTATGTGTCTTTGGTAAGTAGTACTTTTAGGAAGCTAAAGTTTATTTGATAAAAACTTTTGGATCTCCGGCGTCATACAGTTGGTCCAGTTTGTGTCGTAGCCGACAATCTGGATCCCAACTGCGTGTCTCTGCCCTCTTGTTATCAAGGAGCCCTCTCAGTATATTAAACAAACGATGCCGAGCTTGCAAATTAATCTGTTGACAAAAGTGTCCTCTTTTTGATTCCGTTGTCGGCCTTATTTGCAGCACTTTGAGCTCACATGAAGCGCTGCATTTCAGATCTGAGCGTCTTTGACAACAGCAGTTATTCATTATTAACAAAGAGGACATTGATAGTCTAAAGGAGATGTAGCCGAAAACAGACTTTATCTGTAATCTGATAATCTGACCTATCCAGATTATGGATGCACAATCAAAATACTGTTAATCAATATTGAATAGATTGTCCCTGAGTTTGATATTCGTCTTCGTTGTTATGATGGATGTGTTTGTGTACTGTAGGACTATTCATGATAAGCACAAAGCAATGCTGTCAAGGTCTGCTCTATGTTCATCACAGTCATATTGAATCCATCCATTTCATCAAGGTCACTTGGCCGACTATTGACGACCTCTTTTTTTCTAAAAAACACCCCCAAAAAATAACGTTTCCTTTTCAGCAGCTCCGTATTTCTTTCCTTTTTGACCAACTTAATTTGTGTATCAGCATGCACAGTAAGGAATACTAAATACAGAAGACCAGCTGTTCCGTCTACCAGGGATCAGGAGTTGATATTCAACACCATCACACACAGTTATTCATGAAGAAAATACAAACCATTCAACTTCCATGCAGAGACTTTAATAATCTGTCAGAAATCATTAGCTGTAAAGTCAGAAAAGGTCCTTTCTTACCTTTTTTTGGTCAGATTATATAATAGTTACACACACAGCCTATCATTCTCCAGTTTTACCTTTCTGATTGTATCACCAATTAAGTACAATAACCTCGCTGCTAATAGCCGGCTCGTTAAGGCCCTGTGTAATTATTTTATTCACCTTAAGGGGCCTCTGTAATATTTTTCTAGACTTCATATAGACAGTCATTTTATGCTGACGAGCACCCGATCCTTTGTTATTGTACAAATCCCACACTAATTACTTCTTTGGATTATTATTCATTACTTTTGAGCTGTGATTAATAGTGGTGGCATCATCAATGGTAAATTATCGCCGGTTAATATCTGCCTTGGAGTTTGCTGTTCCTCAGTTGACCCGGTATATACAGCGTTCTACCTGAATGTAAGTGACTAACCCTAACTGTAGTTCAGAGCAGAGCAATACTCAACACGTCAGATCATTGCTCTCGGGTGCAGTGAGACCAGAACATCCTTTGGGGTGCTTCAGTAATTATTGGCATGATTTGCCACAAACTCAATCAGTCAAAGTTGAATACATATAGTATTCTGCACAGTGGCGTTACATAAGCACCAGTGCACGCTTTTATGACGGTGCCAAGTGCGCGCTATAGTTACTAGTTAGTAAGGGATGTACAGCGAGCCGGTCGTTACCGAAGAATGAACCCCAACAGGGCGGGCAGGACGTGAAGCGGAGGGGTCAATAACAACCCACCGGCTGTCCATTATCCCGCTTATTACACGGCCGCTTACTAAACAGATGAATAATTTGTCACCAAATACGGATTTAATGAATGATTTCATTGATTTAAAACTGATTTTATTGGTTTACGAACCAAAAACACAAAGAGAGGTCCTGCATGTTTCTAATCGGTACGTTCTGTCCTACGCGCTTCCACAGAGATCATCTACAGCTGGGTGTTCAATGAGTTCCCCTCATTCGTGGCCGAGGACAGTCGTCGCTTCATCTCCCAGGACACAGGCAACCTGTACATCTCCAAGGTGCAGCCCTCTGACGTAGGAAGCTACATCTGTCTGGTGAAGAACGCAGTGACGAACGCGAGGGTCCTGAGCCCTCCGACGCCACTCACGCTGAAAACCGACGGTGAGGCTCTCAGCATTCATAGCATCTCTCACACACACAACAGTCCCTGATTTGTATAAGTGCCCCAGGCAGAGAAATCTAATGGAGTTCATTGGATAAACCATGCAGAAAATATCCCAGTCCTCCATCTGTTCATTTTTAAGTCTAACATTTATTTTTATATTTTTACATCTATTACAGCGCTTCCTCCGCCTGAACTTGTTTAGCGCAGATGAAAATCTAAAAGCATATTTTATTCTCTGCTGGTGCATTTTATTGTATCATCGTTTGGATAAAAAAAAATTGTTCAGATGAGCTTGGTTCATAAAAGTGGCTCGGTCCTCCTGCTTTCCGCTGAGCCCTCGGGTTAGCGGAGGGCGTCAGGAATTCCATACACACACTGTAAATAGATAGTGAGCAATGCTTTAACATTAGTGTTGGGAGCCTTCTTCGCTCACAATGTGCTTCGGTGAAACTGGCCGTCAGGGAAATCATTTTCCAGCATAAAATTAACTGAATCAATGGCCCTTGCTGTGGTTGGGATTCGCCTCTTTTATACTAGCCTCTCAGGAGCCGTGCCGCGGAGCTGTTTGCTGGATTCAGGTGTGGATTTCAACCTACGGGCTTTTTTTTACGCCCGATTACACAGAGAGTGACGTCCATCACTTCACACAGGTGCCCATCATTGTCACGGTTTTCAAAGAGCCACTGAGAGTACATCCCCAGTGAAGCTGTGAAAGGCCCTCTCTGCCTCGGAAACCAGGTTTGTTCCAAATGTTGCAACACGAATCGGCCTCTTAAGAATCACACCCCTTCCAGCAAGATCCCTACGCTGTATTTGCATAACCTTGTATGAAATGGCCCCCGGGGACATGCATAATACTTAGCACATAACCATGCTAATTTGGTTTGTGTCTCTCATTAACTGAGATGCAAAATACAGTCAGAGGGGCACGCGGTCAGTCTGCTGTCAGCGCTTTATTGTGGCTCATGGCTGTTTTTTTTCTGGTTCATTTTTGTAAGGAGGAGTGATGGAAGAGGAGCATCCATATTGCGATGTCCATCCATAATGTGGCTACGATACCGGGTCTAAAGGACAGCCCTCTCACCTGCAGCACAGCACATCCAAATCGAATCCCCACAGCTGTAGGTCCATTATGCCAAAGAAAAGCCCTGGCATCTCTCACCCTGCAAATCACATGATGTTCAGCGGGCTTCTATATTGTGAATTTGGGGTTCTGAAATGCCGAAAATTGCATTGGCACAACTCCCAGCAGACACCCAAACGTCCCCGCACCGTGTGCACCCCTCAGTCATTGGAGTCCGACCAATCAGGCGCTGCAATCTGTGCCTCGGTAAAAAGTGAGATATTATTACACAGTAGACAGTTGAAGCTGGATCTGTGTGCGGCTCACCACTGTCAGCTCTGACACCGACTCTCTTAATCAAAACAAGCATCTGGGCTCCATTATACCCTGCTGGAAGCCATTGATCATCAATGCGCATTCCACCTTGAGCAGAGCACTGACCTCTGCACTAATGCACTGTTTTAAAACAGATATACAGTTCATCTCAGAAACGCTCTCCCTTTGATTTATCTGCTTGGTGTAAATATGAGCAAGCACATAATATCACCGTGGATAGCAGGGACTTTCGAACGGCTCTGAATCAGAACATGTAGATTGTTTGTTTATTAATGAGGACTTCTACAGGAAAATGAAATTGCTGTTAATAAAAAAACAGACATTTAAAAAAGTCTATTATGTCATCTTGTAGTTTTGGACATCTTTTGTCATCCATCTTTTACCTTTGTATATCAGTTATAATAATGTTTTGATTAAAGGTTCACAAGCCTCCGAGAGGTTTTACATCGTACATCGTGGTTGACCGTGCAGGAGTAACCTACCAGGGTTACTTAATCTTTGCATGTGGCTCACTGTTGTATAACGTAGTTTATAAATGCCAGATCTTAGTAAAATTATCACTATTTCTGATTATTCATTTATTTAGTTTGTTATATATTTACTCGACTGCTAAGAAGCAAGCGGCAACCTCCGGGTCTGAAAAGTGTCTTAAACTTGAATTTCTTCTAATGGCCACCAGGGGGCGACTCTGCTGGTTGTAAAAAGAAGTCAGATTGTATAGAAGTCTATGAGAAAATGACTCTACTTCTCACCTGTTTCATTACCGCATTGAACATTGTAGCCTTGGGTTTATGGTCTCAATCGCTAGTTTCAAGTCCTCTTCAACACAGCATGATGTTCATTTAGTAAATTATGATTCATGTAGAGTCAAATAGGCCATAAAGCAGGCTATGCTTTAGGGCGGGGCTATGTTGTGGTTCACAGTTCGCTATCACGGTGTTGCCCGGTCTGAGAGTTCTCTGTGTTTTTTACCTTCCTTTAACCCTTTCACACTGTGTTTTCATGAAAGTTAATTTGATTTTCAGTCGCCTATAAATGTCTTATTCAGCATTCGGTTGTCCAACCTCTCCTGTCACTTCTGGTTTAAAAAAACCAACATGATGACGGCCAAAGGTCGAACTCGAGGCTTCAAAATGCCAGTCCACAAACCAATGGGTGACGTCACAGTGACTACATCTTCTTCTTACATACAGTCTACGCTAAGAAGACACATTGCTTTTGTAGGCACTTTTTTTATTTTAAACTTATTTTAATGGAAAGTGTCAGTTAAAACAAACTGCTGTTGTTCTCCAGCTGATTGACAGTTCATTTAATAGAGTTGTGATTTTTAAAGATTTATTTACAGCACTATACCAAGTGAATTCTCTATTTCTAACTAAAACTCTTCAACCACTCTGGATGTAAATATTCTTTAAATGTTTGTTGCCACAAAAAAAAATGCATATTGTGCTTTTAACCATTGTTTCACATCCAGGTAAATGGTAACGCCTCCAGTTGGACTGCAGTACTCATGTTATTAATATTATGTGATATCAGTGCAACATAATGTTCTCAGGCACATCTCATCTCCATATGGGCATGTTTTCTGTACGACACCAAACATTTTTATTTTGAATGTATTGTGTACATTGAGAACATGAAGCCAGGACATTTAGCCTACTTTCTACCTTAACCTCAAGAGGAAATGTGTTTTTAATAAATCAGATCAACATGAATCAATATTTACCGTCACATTATCAGAGTTTGTCTGCTATATTACAACATTTTGTGTATTGTTAGTCATGTTCCTCGTGTAAAGCATGGCCACATTTGCTATCGCGGTGCAGATGGAGGATCAAAGCCTGTAGGGCAACTTCCTCAATGAGCTCAGCAGTAGGGGTGAGACAATCCAATTACAATTAGGCAGACTATCCAGGAATAGGCTGGACCAAGAGGGAGTTGTTACTGTAGTAGACTATTACAATTTCACTAATGCATGAGGATTTGATTTTTTTCAGGTCTAAATTTTTAATAAGACAAAAACATACAAAAGCTATTTACCAAGTTATGTACTGTATGTGTATGTGTTCTATTAACACAGGTGTATTACTGGATCAGAGAGCAAATAAAACACTTTTTCAATGCTATCAGCTTGCAGTCCCAGTAAGTTTCAGGATAGACTTTTTACTTTGGAATTGGTTCGCAGAAGAACAAAGCACAACAGAAAAAAATTTAGTTTTTATGTGATTAATAAATAAAACCGGAGCATAAAATATAAAGCCACACTTCAAATGAGGGCTGTTAATGTTTTAGCACACCGAGACATTATTTCTTTCAATTCCATCAGGTCCAGCCGCCGAGACTGAATACGATATTCGATATACTGTGGATTGAGCCCATGAAATATTGCAAATTCATTATATGCGAAGGGCTGCTTTGGAGCTATAAATGTTGAGAATGAGATTGAAATTGAAAAGTTCTTTGGAACAAATAACATAAAACTCCTTTACCATGCATAGTGGGCCACAATTCAGTAACCCCACTCCTTCTCTGCTGCATTCATTTTATCACATAAAAAGTGTCAGGTACATGGAGGAGGTGTAATTATGGTTTCTCAAATGTCATGCCGGCCATTTGTCTTGCTGATCACGTGGCCGAGCACTGGATGTGGTCCGCTGTGTTTTGCTGGGTATTCAGAAAGGTGCCGGGGGTTAGCAGCGTGTCAGTTCATCGGCGGCGCTCACGTGCAATGATTGTGTGTACATTCAACATTCTTTTGTAAAGAGTAAAAAGCTCATGCAATATTCATGTCGGCAAACTCCCATTTAATAAGACCGATAATAGTAATTAGACCCCAGATGAAGGTGTTTTTCCTTTGTTACTCCAAATGAGCTCGATGCCAATCTGACACATTGTTGGATGTAAATGCATATAAATGGCCACCTGGACGTACAGATGAACAAACAAAGAAAAACACGTCCTCCGGCTGTGACTTGGAGCCGGGGTGTTAGTCATAGCGGCACTTAGCGAGACCGATAACACGATATCACTTGTGTCCTTCACAGTGTGTTTGTAGAGTGGCTTACTAATTCTTGGAGACAATGCACTACTTCACCCTGTTGTCACTGGAGAGTACGCGTTAGTACATCATCTTAATGGTTTGTTTTTGTGACACCGCGTAGATGGCGATATGCTGCCTATGCAGAATCATGACTGAATTTTCCAACTGTCTTTGACTACATAACAAAGATTTCAAAAATCTGTTTTGGTAGAGCAAAAAAACGTATGATTGTTGCTCTGTATTTGGGCTACATCAGTATCACTAGCCCTATTAATAAACAGTGTTTAAAGCAAAGGTGGATGTGCCAGATGGTGCGCATAATGTATACTTGCACACTGCGTGATTCAACACACCTCGGTATCCTTTGAGAGGCCTTTTGATCTCCTCAAGAAATTTAGATTTTCTTTTCTTCAATAGATTCTTATCATAAAAACAGATACCAGGGCAAATCACTGCGCCCAGTCTCTGTGTAGCTCACTGCAAGAAAAGACAAGATGATGATGGGGAAAAGGGAGGGTGGGAGGGAGGTTGGGGGGGGTGTAAGTAGCCGTTTCAATCTGCTTGGTTCTAATGTCTGCAATTCCTCTTTCCTAACCTTTTCCAGGTGTCATGGGTGAATATGAGCCCAAAATTGAAGTGCATTTCCCTACATCCGTTCTGGCTGCCAGAGGAGTCACTGTCAGGCTGGAGTGCTTTGCTCTGGGGAAGTAAGTAAAGGAAGAACATATTGCACAAATATGGGTATGTTGTTTATTGCTGCAGCATCATATTAATCACCATGAAAAGTATAATGCTCTGTTGCTGAGCGATCCTTTTGATAACGCTCCTTGTGTTTCTCCCTCTTCTTTAAATTGCATTATTCCATTACCTGAAAGGGGACCAGGCGTATCTTGTCTTCAGGCGGGATGTTAAGTGAGTGTAGAGAAAGTGCAGCACCGCAGCTCTGCTGTTATGGCATGTTAGTGCAGAGGTGGGGGGTGGGGGGTGGGGGGGGGGACTGAATAGGGAATTCTGCCCAAGGGACCCATGTGTTCTCATAATTGAGAGCCCAAATGTATCTGTGTTTCCTGGGTGCTTTCAGGGTCTGTTGTGAATGTAGGAAGGCAAGGTTACATCTGTGGTGAGATGAAATTGGTAATAGTTCTCTGCCAGGAGGGAAAACAGACTTTTTTCCTCAGAGACTTCAATCCAAACCACAGTTACTAAAGTTAGCATGCAGGCTCCATGGCATACACAACCACTGCATGAAAACAGATATATTAAAAAAAATTAATAACAACATTGTGTATATATATATATATATATATATGTATGTGTGTATATATGTATGTATACAGTATATACAGTATGTGTATATATGTATTTATATATATGTGTGTGTATGTGTTCTCCAAAGCAAGGTTGAAGTGATGTTTGACATTACAAGGGATCATTTTCAATGTACAACATAATCATTTATCACCCCTACTCCATTTTGTTTATAATTATTCATTGCTGATTCCTATCTTCAGTGCAAACAGTCTCTAATCTGCAGATGACTAAGAACCTCATAATTGTTTTCTTTGATTTCAATCAGTTATCCACATTATGGTAAGTCCTTTCCTAAATATATAGACACTGCATTTTAATCTCACACCTTTTGGTATTTCCCATCAAGCTGAGCAGGAGTTTTTGTGGATGCTCGTACAGAACAGTCCTCGCTCTGTGCTTCCATCAATGAAACAATTTGTGCGTGATGGCTTTCAGTCAGACAGTGATAGTGGCGATTTACCCTTTTACATACTGTGGAGATGAATGATTTATCAATGCCTCCCTATTAAAAAATGCCAGTCTTTATATAGCGCCGAAAATGAAGTTGAAATGGCTTTTGTTCTCCTGTTGTTCAATATTGATGATGGCACCACTAGCTGAGACGGGGCAGAGCAGCTCTTTGTGTGTGAATGCCAGAGCTCCTTGATATGATTGTGTGTTGTGATATTTACCAGTGACACTACTTTGTAGGCCACAGTCAAGGGCAAAGAGAACAGTGAGACGATACCGATGAAATAGTCCAATAGTTTGCCATCGTGACTTGTGTGTGTGTGTGTGTGTGTGTGTGTGTGTGAAAGTGGATTCACTGTAGAACGATAACCCTTGTTTGAAATAGGAGCTTCATTAGCACTTTCCTATTTGGGGGAACACATCTTTTATGTCTTCGTTAATTGAAATAATATGCGGTGTTCTCATTTACATGTTGGTTTGATTATTTGCTGATGCAAAACAGTTATTGTTCAGCCCGATTTGTTATATAACAGATTACCAGGATAATCGCCATGAATGATTTTCGCCATTTTAATAATTTTTTTATTTGTTCATAAACAAAACAGCAGTGACTTTACAGGTGGTACGACAATGATAATAATGAAAACACCTGGAAAAGCCTCAGTAAACAAGGTGATGTACAGCGACTGACATGATACATAACAAAACAAAGGATGAAATAATAGCCATATACATTCTAATAATAGCATCTCTAATCATTTAAAGATTAAAAGAGATGTGATGTGCTACCTATAGATTTTCAAACAACACTAATTCAATTGAAAACTTTTGGATTCACAGTCGGATTTCCAAGGCACTCTGGGAAGTGCAGTGCTTTTAGCTGCTTTCATTTCAGGGGATATTGGAGTATGTAGTTCAAAAGGCCTTGTACATTAGATGGGTAACACATTATCCCACTCATTTCCACTTAAAATACAATATGTGGTGGAGGCTTTCATCCAAATTGCCTGAGAGGAGTGGATATACTTTTAGCTTCAGTGACCCCAGAGGGAATCAAACTCTTGAAAACACTTGCAGTTACATTCCTCTTTGAGCAATGCTGCACCACAAGGACCACATCGTCAGCAGTAACATAGAGTGTCTCTTGACAACACATTCCATACTCCTGGTACGATGGTTAATGTTTTTCAGAGACACTTTTAGCTCATATAATACAGGTGGAATGTGGCTTTAGATTCTCCTTATGAAGTAGTGTAGCATTTCCCAGAGGCACTAAAACATTGACAGCTTAGCAAATGAGCTAAATGCTGGAATAACATCCAGATTGTAATGATTTGAGGCAAACCAATTCCCCTCTATATTTTGGTATTAGATTTCATTTTCAACCTTTATTATAGAACAAGATGAGGGCACAGCAGTTGTGTGGAATGCTAATTAACAGCGTAGCGTGCCTATGGGCACATTCGTAAATTGAAAACACCTTACATAAACTGGTGTGTAGCACACTCACGTTTTTAGGGTATGAAATACTCAGTGTGCACACTCTCTGATAAAATGGACATGTCCTCAGCTTCTGAGTTCCGGAGTCGGTGCCAGCAGTTTGGTACAGAAGACACTGACAGGCAGAGGTTCTGCTTTCTGAACTTAGTGACTGTGGACACGTACTGGCCCGGTGCTCATTATTCAGCCTCCGAACAGAAACCCTGCCACAGATACACCCTCATGTTCCAGCCCCTCGAGGTCTCTATAGATTTGCTCTGTTCTGTGGCTGGTCGAGAGTTTATTTGGAGCAAAAGGTCTCTTGCAAAATCCTCTATCAATAACATATCAGAAAGGGCTCCAAAACAGCCGCATGCCATATGCATGAGTACTGATTCAATCTGGTGATGGCATATGTGGTTCTTACACCCCACAGGGGCATTGAAATAAAAATGCCAAGTCCTGACAAATGGACCCTCGTTAGACCACAGATATTTGATTTTACCTCAGGCCCCAGATGTTGCGCCTGGTAACCATACTGCATTTGGGAGGATATTTGGTGTTTGATACACCACATCGGTCGATACCAAGTGGCGATCCAATACCTGTGCATTTTTCACAAAAACATAATTTTCAACAAAAAAACAGGAAGGTAAACAGGTCATCATTTTCTCTCTAATATATATCATGTGTTGCTATAATAACATATAACTCTTCAAACAACTGTATTTATTCAAGTTGAATGCAAGAAACACAATTCTACAAGCTGTTGAACACATTTTACTGTTGTAATTTACGCCCCAATGCTAATTTTTACTGATAAGAGCTTGAATGCATCATGTAACTCAATGCAACCTCAGTAAACGTTAGCAGTTAGCTCTGTTATTTAGCCATCCCACCGGCTGCTAACGGCTAACATTAACTAGCTCTCCTAATGCCGATTTCAACACAGTGTTGTTGTTCACCATGTAGCATTTTCCTGGGAAAAAAAAGGTTGCTCAAGTGTTTGACCTCAGGTGTGTAGTACTAGGATGTACACATGCAGAACGGATCGGGCAGTGACAGACTTGTTGTTCCTGTGTAGCGTACATGAGCTGACGTATGAAATGATAACATGATATTGGATTGGATTTGCATCCTCCTCACCGATACCCGAACCCAGCATTTTATTCTGTATCGGAGGCATTTGTGTTACTGGTATCAGAACAACTCTGTCTGTCTACAGAAGGGGAGTTACTAGTGATGACAACCACTTATTTTTCTACACTATTTGACTAGATTGTTGTATGACTAATTAAAACGGGGGGGATTATACTTTGTAAGGGATTAACTGGAATGCTTGTTACATAAATATAAATGACTGTGACTCTCTATGAATGTCGTACATCATCCTAAATGTTGCATTAAGTAACTGCCATGCTTCGTGCAGAAACGTGGGGCTCCAATAACTGACGTCCCTTTGAAACCACTGACTATAATTCAATGTGTCGCTTCACAGCCTCGGTGACGTGACGAAACCTCAATGCATGTTGTAAGGTAACGAGTTAGCTATTCAACAATACAAAGCAAAAGAAAATGTTGAAACCAATAGTCTTAAAGAAATGAAGAAAACGTGACAGAAAACTCCTGTCCAAAATGAAAGACACTCTTTGAGAAGAAATGCTTTGTTTAACACAGAACATGCTCGGAATCCTAATTTGAGTCCATTGCAGCCAAGAGCACTTCAATGTCCTTGTGAATTTAGAGCGGATAAAAAAGCTCAGGGATGTAACATTTTCATCTCGATTAAATGATTGATGGGTTCACCGGAGGTTTGTATGGTGTCACATTTCCATCTTTCAGACACCTGTCAAATCTAGTTGTCATACACGAGCACTGCTGATACTGAGCGCATGGTCTCTCTCTCTGCATACGCAAGTCATCTATCACACGGATCTGTAGGGCAAGCCGTGAATAAACAGGGATGGATGACATCGCTTGAACACCAATCATAAAAAAAATCTCGTTGGCTGTTCATAGCCTGAGTTGAATCTCGTCCCTTGTCCCCCTGAAGCCCGGCTCTAATGTGCGTGTCATCGAGTACAGTAAAGTTGTCACGAGTGGTCAGAAGGTCAGCAGTTTACATGTGGAGCAGAACCAACATGAAATACTCATCGTGCTGTGTCAATACATAATCACAAGTTAAGGACTTCTGGAGGCGGCAGGACAACGCCGATGTTTGTTACAGTTAGACGTTATCATTTTAAAATATCCCTTGTTGGGCAAATAAACAAATATCAATTATTATTATTGAATAACTTGATGGTTATTGGTTTAATTACTTATGTAGTCAGGAAAAAAGTTTGAAAATACCCTTAACAATGTCCAAAAGCCAATATTAATGTCTTTAATTTACTAATGTCCAAATCTCAGGTAACTTAACTTGATTAATGAATAAATTAATGGAGGATTATGCAGAAATTGAACATGTAACAGTTCACTCAAATATGTAAAAGGTGTGAATTAAATTTCCTAGGTAGAGAATCTATCAAGGACATGAAAATATATAGTAATTTCAATTCTTCTTATTATTATAATTACGGTGTAATATATACATAACCTGTCCTTATGTTCTTATGTTACACTGTCCCGTTGAGAATATAATCCCACTCTTCTCTCCTCGCAGTCCAGTGCCAACAATCACATGGAGGAAGATCAATGGCAACATCCCCAAAAAAGCAAGACTTCGGAAGTCCCAGGCTGTGCTGGAAATTCCCAGCATTCAACTGGAGGACTCGGGAACCTACGAATGCAAAGCTGAGAATCCGAGAGGAGGCACTGCTTTCAAAGGACACCTGCAGGTCTACAGTGAGTCTAGGCATGCTCTCACTCACTGTTCATTCGTTCATCTTTTACTTTTGGTCAGCCGTCAAACATAAGATAAGAGCACAAGTGTTGATGTGTTGCATTCCAGGAATATCGGTGTAAACATTGTAGTCTGAACAACAAATACACTCTATTTTTTCGGGAGCTATTTTTGGTCGTTCTGCACCGTTCCCATGTATTATTCATGATATAATCTAGTTATTTTATTCTCATTTTCTGAACAGTCCAGAATTATACATCCACGGCAGATAATCCAAGAACAAGTGTGTGTCACCTCAACGAATGAGCTGATTCTTTTAGTGTGGTTCTCTCAAGCAAGATATTTTTTAGCTGTTTCAAAATGACCTTAACAGCTTCTCTGCTCATTGTTTTAACAATCTGCTGCGGCTGTTCTTTGTCTTTTTTTCAAAGATGTATTATATTACTCTAGTGGTTACATCCATGCCTTTGGTCACTGCTTTATATGAATGTGCTGAGTTTCAGTAAATATGTTTATATTAGATAACAAATGAATTATAGAATCCTCAGTTGTTGGGAATGCCTATATGATTAGGAGCAAGCCTTATTTATTTATCTATACCAACATTGTAATGTTCTCATCTTTTATCTAATGCAGGTATACACTATAATTATTCATTTTACCAAATACAGGCTTATCAACAAAAAACATGGAGCTTTGTGTGCCCAGGGATTAGATATCAGTTTCAGTGCAGACCTCGCTTAAAGAAGAGTTTTTAGTTTCCCAGCCACTAGTAAGCGCGCTGAATTACCAGCCCATTATCATATACTCATCTATGAGGGTGGGTGTCCTCCATTCCTCTCTGTCTGTGCCGTGTGCACAGGACCAAGATAATGGACTGCCTCAGCCTTGGTATAGGACACATTTCCAAGGCCCTGCACTTCTTGGCAACCTCCATTCTGTTGACATCACAAGGAGAATAGGGAGCTAATTTGTAGTAGCCTCACGCTAAATGTAATTTACCCAGGTCAGCTGGAAGTTTGAACTCACATTGTGAGGGAGACCTTCCTGACCGTAATCATTTAATCAAACCACACACACAAAAAGAAGTATTCTACCCAAGGTGCCATATGCAAAGAATAGCAAGAGAACGTGCTCGGCATGTTACTGTAGCAGCTCAGTGACGGGGTTTCCTTCTTCTTCTGCACTCAGTACAAGAAATACACCACGATGCAACACATTGACCCTAAAATAATATCACGTCTTTATCAAAAATCGTGTAACTTGTCCCAAGAAATACAGTCTACACAAATATATTTTTTTTAAGTGCTCAGTATTACACGTTCATTACAACATACAACAGTTGATGTCGCCGTATGCACACATTGATGTGTCATTTGGGTGTAAACGCATATTAGAACAGAAAGTACAATATAAAGGAGATTGAAATAAAAAGAAAACAGGGCTTGAGTTAGTGGCTAAATAATTAACATCCCTCCCCCAACGTAAGACTGACAGAGTGATCCAGCCCCAGCAAAAGGTCCTTGTTAATGTCATATACTTGTAAATGTACAGGAACTGGAAAATGCACAACCATGTGTAGTATAGGATCCAGCAGATAGAAAGAGACTACAAGATGAAAAGAAAATGCATCCAGCCTGTACAGTGCTCAGATCTTGAGGAGTGACAGATGTGTAGTAGGAGAGGAACCGTGGACACAAGCGAGTAGGCTACACACAGAGGAAAAAAGAAAAGAGAAAAAAATCTCCTCGGTTAAGGGGCTCCCAGGAATGGCAGGTGCCAAGCTTGCCTTTGCCACGGACCAGCCATGCAGTGAAAGGAGAAAAAAGGAAAATGTTCATGAACATGATACAAAGAGCATAAATGCGATCCACACGTGAGAACAATGCAATACCCCATCAGTGACAATTGTCTGTTAATATTCAAAATAAAGTTAATCATTTAATCCAATGTATTGAATGTGTTGCTGCTGTCAATGAGGGTTTGTCTGGATGGTGGTGCTTGGTGGTCTTGACTAGAGGTGTGCTGTTAAACAGGTTACTGTATATTCATAATCCTGGTCTCCAGAAACAAATCTTGAATGTTTCGGCAGCACATTCTCACTCTCAACTTGTCAAAAAGATGCTTGGTTCTCCCGCTCTAGTTGCCCCATTAGAGTCAGTTTTGGACATGTCCGGGACAGCATGTCAGTATCTGCTGGTAACTTGCATTGTGTTTTTTTAAAATAAACCTCTGTGTTCACAGGAAACGTACAAGCATACAACCTCTTTTCAAAATAAACTTCCAACGTAGGTTTTCTTAGTTTTTAGGTTTACTTCGGCAACACAAGTACTTGGTTAGGTTTAAGCAACACAAGTACTTGGTCAGGTGTAGACAACACAAGTACTTGGTTATGTTTAGACAACACAAGTACTTGGTTATGTTTAGAGACACAAGTACTTGTTCAGGTTTAAGCAACACAAGTAATTGGTTAGGTGTAGATAACACAAGTACTTGGTTATGTTTCGAAAACACAAGTACTTGGTTAGGTGTAGACAACACAAGTGCTTGGTCAGGTTTAAGCAACACAAGTACTTGGTTAGGTGTAGACAACACAAGTACTTGGTTAGGTGTAGACAACACAAGTACTTGGTCAG